GGTTAACCACCTCTGAAAGTAGGTTTCTTCTGACAAAATGTGCATGCAGCTGGGGAGGCTGCCGAGATAACCGTGAACGCCGTGCAGTTCTCTTTCGAAGAGGAGGATCTCGTCCACCAGGTGGCAGAAGAGGTTGTCGTCGTACAGCATGCAAGGGATCTCGGCGTCCAGCTTCTCCAGGATGAGCGTCACCAGAGCGCGGGAAAACTCCAACTGTAAGAAGCAGAGAGAGAACATTCAAATCTTCAGGTGAAAGGAGGCGGCGCTTAGGGCAGCTAGTCCTCGACTTACAACGGTTCGTTGAGAGTCCGTTCAAAGTTGCGACGGCACAGAAAAAAAGGGATTTATGTTTATGACTGTCCCCGACGTTCATGTGATCCAAGTTCAGACAAAAATCTTACAAACTGGAGAATGTAGCAAATCAGGAACAAGAGAGAAAATGAAGTACTGTACAGTAGTCCTCCACTTACAACAGTGTATTTAGTGACCGTTCAAAGTTACAACGGCACTGAAAAAAGCGACTGAGAGTTTCTGACACTTACGATCGTTGCAGCGTCCCCCATGGCCACGTGGTCAAAATTCGGATGCTTGGCAACTGGTTCATATTTACGACGGTTGCACTGTCCTCTGATAGCAACCTTCTGACCATCAAAGTCAATGGGGAAGCCAGATTCACTTAACAACCGTGGTATTAACTTAGCAATAGCAGCGATTTACTTAACAACAGTGAACGTTCGTAAAATGGGGCAAACCCCACTTAAGAACTGTCTCCCTTAGCAATCTAAATGTTGGGCTCAATTGTGGCTGTAAGTCGAGGACTGCCTGTAGCGCAACGGCTGTCGATCGGGAAGCAAAACAGGAGAGGTTTACCCTGGCGTTCACCGAAGTTCCGGCTTTATCCAATATGGGCTGAACTTTGCCTTCCAGAAACGAAACGTGATTTCCAATCCACATCAGTACTTGCGTAAGATACCACTCGGGCTTCGGAAGGAAACAAGTCAGACAAAATCAGACGAAAAAATTGTGCGCTGCTCGGTCCAAGTTACAATTCTATCAGCAACACTATGCCCGAACCTCAACAGCGTCCAACATTGGCAACTTTTAAGACCTGCGGACTTCAACTCCCGGAATTCCCCATTGCTAACTTCCACTCTACACATTCTTGGCTGGCCCAGAGAAGCATCAAGGAGCAAGTTATTATTATTTACTACTAGCTGATTACCCGGCGTTGCCCGGGTATTTATTTATAGGGGGGAAATGTCCGGACCAAACGTAATTTCTAAGGTTGGATTTTCCTCCTTACCAGTGGGAGCCCTCTTGTGGAGTACTGTGAATCCGTTACCGTGGCAACTCCACTGCGCTGTACTGCTGTACAGTAGAAGCCATTTACAGCAGTATGGTAGAAGCTGTTTTAAGGCACAACAGGCTGTATCTTAACAGAAAATACACCCCAAGGGATGTGTGTTAGGGGTTTCTTACCCTCCCACAGTATTTCTTTCCAGAGAGTAAGTCATCTGTGTACCAAGTTTGGTTGAAATTGCTCGAGGCGTTCCAGAGTTATGCCAGAACATACACACACACACAAACACACACACATCAGATTAACGTATGGCATTGCTACCCTGGGCAGGCGACAGACAACAATATTGCAGAATGGTAGTTTGGCTTTTCAAGGTACCAGTCCTGTTATAGCAGGGGTCCCCAACCTCTGGGCCTCAACCTGTTTGGAATCGGGCCACAAAAATGGTGGCTGAGTGTGTGCGCATGGGTGCGAAGCTGCATTTGTGGAAGTGGCGCACGTTCGTGCACAAAACCATCCCCTCTCGCTCCGTCTCCGCTGGTCCACCGAGCCGGAATTGTCTGAGACCTCCGTGCTATAGGAAAAGCTTGTGTGTTTCCCAAAGTGCGCCACAAGAGGGCGAGCTTGCCTTGCACCAGAGAGAAAGACTAGCGGCTCTTCCTGCAGTGTCACCCAGTGTTTTTCTCCTCGGAAGCGGGCGCCGCAACCAGAAAAGCTCACAGCTGGTGGGAACCTGACTGCCTCCACCAGGTCTCCGAACGAAGTGGTACCTATTTTATCTACTCGCACAGTGCGTGCTTTCGAACTGCAAGGTGGGCAGAAGCTGAGGCACATGACGGGAGCTCACCCCTACATGCAGAGCGAGGGGTGGATGGCTGCAGCTGAAACCATCTCCAGCGCTATTCAGACACCACGCCTCGCGTGAACGAGTGAACACAAAGCACTGCATCCAGGAAGTCCCGGACTTACAAGAGTGTTTAGTGGCTGTTCGGAGTTACAACAGCCCTGAAAAAAGTTTCCTACTTATGACCATTTTCGCATTTTGATGGTCATGTGACCAAAACTGAGACGCTTGGCAACAGATTCATATTTATGACCGCCGCAGCGTCCCGCGGTCCCATTTTGTGACCTTCTGACAATTAAAGTCAATGGGGAAACAACCGTGTTACTAAGCGACTCCGGGATTCCCTTAACCACTGGGGGAAGAAAGGTTGTAAAATGGAGCAAAATTCACTTAACAACCATCTCACGGTTGCAACCTAAATTTGGGCCTCAATTGTGGTCGTTAAGTCGAGGATTACCTGTACTTATGCCTACCGGCCACGCTGCGGCAACTTCATGTCTTACCGAATATTAGGCAGATAACGACTGCACATTTTCCAACTTAACTCGGTAAACGCAGGTGATTTTCCAGAGAAAGCCGAAGATTGGGGCTCATGCCAGTTACCCTCCCGGGCTGCCATCTTTACCGAGTCAGGATTTAAAAAGGGAATCTCTAAGAAGAGGATTTGCACATGAAGGCCATACCTTGGTCAAGACGTTGGTTTGCCGGTTCCCCGTGAAATGGTATTTGAATCTTTTCTGGAGGGGAGCCAACATGATCTGCATCGGTAATATAATAGGCGGAGTTGGCGGAAGGAGGTACTTTTCTGGCAGCTGCTTCGGTTTGGTTAATAGTTCGTCCCTGAGATTTTTTTTATGCGTTAAGGTACAATATGGTGAGGATATGTACAAGGGCTTACAGACATAGGATGATGCCCACGCCTTTTCCTCCTATGATTTGGCTGCTGAGATTTTGCAGTATCCTTCCCCTGGAGTGGGGAGGGAATGGGGATTTTGCAGTATCCTTCCCCTGGAGTGGGGAGGGAATGGGTTTTTTGCAGTATCCTTCCCCTGGAGTGGGGAAGGAATGGGGTTTTTGCAGTATCCTTCCCCTGGAATGGGGTGGGAATGGANTGTTGAGTAGTGTTTCCCAACCTCGGGTATGTTGAGACCTGCTGGAGAATTCCGGGAATTCTGAAGTCTACAGTCCTTAAAAATAGCCAAGGTTGGGAAACATTGCTACAGAAAAGGAAGAATGGATGGAAACTGGAGACAAGGAGAGATTCAACCTGGAAATAAGGAGGAATTTCCTGACAGGGAGAACAATCAACCAATGGAACAGAAGTTGCCTTCAGAAGTTGTGGGAGCTTCATCCCTGGAAGCTTTCAAGAAGTGACCGGACTTCCCTCTGTCAGAAATGGTGTAGGGTCTCCTGATTGGGCAGGGGGTTGGACTAGATGACCTGAAGGTCCCTTCCAACTCTTCTGTAGTCTGTTCTTCCTATTCTATGATTGGGAAAAGCCAGCCTTAGGGTAACAACAGATTTTGTGGGTGTGTTAAAATCTAGTAATTCTATTTCTCTCTCTCTGTTTTTCCCCCCTCTTCTTTTGGCCGGCTGCGGGGATTTTGCAGAAGGGTTTAAAACTGCAAAGCTACGGTCTTTATTTCCATATCTTTCAAACTTTCTCCTCTGCAGCAATAGTGAGCTGGAGAGCTGGTTTAATTGCCTCTACTGGATTCTGATCAATGCTTGTCATTGGGGCAATCTTCTTGGCTTTTCACCCATTATTCATCTTTAGGAAATCTGGTGGAACTTGCTCTGCTCTCTAGTCCAGTTTAGCATTTATTGACCTTTCATTTTTATTTATTTTTTCAAATTTAGGGTGAATTATACTCAGTCGCTGTTAAGAGTCCAGTTCCCGCTTTGGTCCTCCCCCTCTCCAAAATGTACAAGGAGCCCTTGTGCGCCGACAGTTCGTTTAGTGACAGTTCAAAAGTTACAACAGCGTTCCAAACAGTCACTAAGTTAGGACAAAGTCAATGAGGCAAGCCAGATTCACTTAACAACTTAACCGATCACCTGCAGTGATTCACTTAGCGACTGTGGCAAGAAAGGTTGTAAAATAGGATTAGATTAGATTCGATTGTAGCTTTGTTGGCCACATCAAACCACAAGGTTCAAACACGTATCACCAATAAAATCCTACACAAACAATTTAAAACAAGAGTAGGGTAAAATACAATAGTTATAGGATAAGATACAATATAATTTAATGCATGAATATGTAAAATAGAATAAAATGACATAACGGTGTCACCCTTACAATCTACCCCAATCAGTTCCATGTATGCAGATCTCAACCAAACTATTTTGTTTAAGAACTGTGCTGCGTTAAATGTTATTTTCAGGTTCTGGCTGCATGTAAAATATGTTGTTTTGATATGGGGATCCCAATGGGTCCTTCGTTTGGTATATAGACCAAGGTACCCGTCTCTTAGCCCCTTATACAAGCAACAATCAATTAGGATGTGAGCCAGGTCTTCTACCTCTCCTGCTCCGTAAAACAGGGGGAAATCCACTTAACCAATGACAACATACATTTTGGACTCAATTGTATTTCAAGGCAAAAGTAAGTCAAAACATTCACTGCTAAAGACCTACAAAATGCATTTTTGTAAATCATGCTTTTGGTTACGGTTATCTTGATCAAGGTTTCCCCCACCACCCCCACCTCTGCCAACCCAGCCTGTTTTCTTTCATTTACGCTCCAAGGCAGCCTAGGAAACTATTTAATTTGGATTAAGTATTAGCTTAGCGCTTTCCTTCTGAAGCAATGATGGGCCAGTGCAGAAACTGGTTTTTTCGGGTGCTGCTACAGTGTGGGAGTTGTGGTAGCGATAAAAATTGTGAAGTGGGTTGTTTTGCTCTCTTGAGGTTGCTGGTGGAAATATAATCAATCAGCCGATCAATAAAAGCTTACATCCTTTTGACATTTAATGTAAAAAAAAAAAAAAAAGGCTCTTCCGCTTTTTGAAGCAGAGAAAACATTGCTTTAGGCTCAAATCCTGACGAAAATGATTTTCAGGCGGAAATAAAGAGAGGAATAAGTAACTTATAAGTAACTTTCTTATGTACAAAAACCCTGCACTGTGCTGAAGCTCAACCTGGAACAGAAGTTGCCTTCGGAAGTTGTGGGAGCTTCATCCCTGGAGGCTTTCAAGAAGAGACTGGGCTGCCATCTGTCAGAAATGGTGTAGGGTCTCCTGCTTGAGCCGGGGGTTGGACTAGATGACCTACAAGGTCCCTTCCAACTCTGTTAATCTGTTAAAGCTAAAAAAATGATTTTTGAAACTGCCTCCCCTCCCCCCTTTTTGTGTTCTAATTCCTAGTATTCTTGCAAAATCAAGTTGGGGGGAAAAAGTGAACAAAGATCTGGGAGAAAAATAAAATATTTCCCCCCCCCCCCCCAAAAAAAAAAAAAAAAA